TATAGGCCTTATTCGTCCCTGACAGACAGAGATCGTACCCGATAGTGTTACGTAGGTCTTATTCGTCCCTGACAGATAGAGATCGTACCCGATAGAGTTATATAGGCCTTATTCGTCCCTGACAGATAGAGATCGGTATAAAACAGGAAAAATGTGAGTTTGTGACTTTAATTTGAACGCTTTTTTGTTCAGAACGGTTTTCTTTAATCCGTCGCTTGCCTATTAATTATGAGTTAATGTATATCATTTTGATCGTAAACACAAAGTATGTTTAGAACATTTGATTGGAAAATTCCCAATTCTAAATCTTATTGTATACTTATATTTTTCTTAGCTTTGTTACTTGTTCATAATGCAAGTACGCAATAAATAGGATTTCTTTCACGAATTCTATGAACTTCAATAATTATTAATGACGAATATTTCAGGGGTACAAGGGATATAGGAGGTACCTTATATTGTCCAGGAGGCATGCCATGTGCTAAGTGGAACGTTTTGGTCACCAGTGGTATTTCTGCAAGACCGGACTGCCATAGTTTGTCCAAAGCCTTGTTGACAGACAGGTCTAACCGATATACACTCGAGAGGAAAAACAAAACATAATAGGTATGGATTAAAATCATTGGCTGTTTCCGTAACTTATCTCTTCACCTGAACGTTGTGTACGTGAAATAGTTTGACATTCTAATATATCAGCTATTTGTTTCTTTAATCAGCAAATATATCGAGGAAAGCTTGCATCTCCAGATCCTTAGTTTAAATTAATAGCTCGGTACCAGATTCTATGACAATCATTACATGAATTACTAAAGTGTATTATTTAAACTTCCTTTTTTTAAGTAGTGTGCTTGGAACTGCTATATTTGTAACTGTTTGATTAAAGTTTCGAAAGTTAACATACAATGAAATACAATTAGAATTCATCCCAGTTACGGAAAAATATCAGTTTTCACCCATAACGCCGAAGTGTATTAAAACGTTCATCCCAATCGCTGAAATATATGCAAATGTCCAATCATAACGCTGAAAATATATATGGTTAAAATAAAGATTTTGTTATGTCTGCTTAAACCTTAGCTGTCAGCACTTGATTGCTGACTAATTTGCAAACCCTTACATCGTTGTGTTGAGTTTGAGGACAATGAAGATGTCTACGTTTCGGGCAGGGGTAGCGAATCCTTTGTTTACCAAACTGACGTGGATGCACATAAGTTCCCCAACATAAGCCGCTGTTGGCAGGTCTACCTGGGGACCGATGGATCAGGGATATATTATCTTCACTGTTACAATGACTACCCAATTACCGACACCTTGTCATATCCTATTAAAAGTACGATATATCTTATTGAAGAATATGATATCTATCTAAACAATATGATATATGTCTAAACAATATGATATCTGTCTAAACAATATGCTATATATCTAAACAATATGATATCTATCTAAACATTAGGATATATATCTAAACAATATGATATATATCTAAACAATATGATATATATCTAAACANTAATATGACATATATCTAAACAATATGATATCTGTATAAACAATATGATAAATATCTAAACAATATGATATATATCAAAACAATATGATATCTGTATAAACAATATGATATAAATCTAAACAATATGATATAAATCTAAACAATATATCTATCTAAACAGTATGATATCTATCTAAACAATATGATATAAATCTAAACAATATGATATATATCTAAACAATATGATATCTATCTAAACAATATGATAGTTATCTAAACAATATGATATCTATCTAAACAGTATGATATCTCTCTAACTAAACAATACAGTGTCACTTTAGCTCAACACGATGATGCCCTTTAATTAGAGAGTACGATCTCTCTCTAACTTAAAAAATATCCCTAACAGTTCAAACCATCTCACTAAAAGAGTCCTGAACACAAGCGTAATTTAATCGCGAACTCGATACAACCAGGGCAAAATATGAACAATCCCAGATTTCAATGAAAAAGTACAAGGATAATAAAACCGTTGCGTTTGAAGGGCAAAAGCGTTTTCTGCTTCCTCTACAACACACGCCATATAACTCTACGATAAAAAAGCAAACTATCTCTCAAGGGTCCGATATTTCTAAATTAACAGTACGCATCTAATCAAGCAAAACAGTATATATTCAATAATAGCACGTACCGTGTGTAGAAACAGACGGTAGCCCAGTCTGTGACGAATAGTGTCAAAACAGTTATGGTGTCTATAGTATTTTAGAGATTCATCCGGGTCCTCTATATCCAAATACGTCATGTGGATCTTCTCAAACAACTCCATGGAATCAGTGCACAAGCTGTAAAAATCATTCATGAAACCTTTCTTTACGCTAAAAGGAAATGATGTCTGTTGTAGTATTGTTACACCACTGTCTAGACTTTCGCTTGGCCCATGAGGTGTTTTTAATGTTCACTAATGAACATTCTTACAAACCTAAATGTTCAACCATAAGTCAGCCGGCGATTGTTCCAGAAGTTAAAGTCCCAAAGCGAAAATGATTTTTTTCTCCCAAAACTTTGAAAGGCATTAAGTAAGTAAAAAATGAGATGATGATGATGATCATGATGATCTAGATATAATACGTTCATGAGCACCATTCATTTCAATCTTCAACTGCTCTTTCAGGAAGCTATCCAAAGATGCCAAATGAGTTTGTTCTGTACTTCTATGTTGCAGATCAACTACGGTAGTACACAGATGGTTTGATGTTGCAATTCATGGTCACGCTGATTGAGACTGATGTCGTACCCACCTTTTTCGTCGACTTCTGATGTGGTATTTTTACCGAATTCACAGCACGATCTCTTTAGCGTTGGTTGATTGGGTCGTGATGACAGATGGAATATGCTAGGGGAATGAGTTTTAAATTGCAGTCTATCCACTTTTGAAAGATGAACGCAATACACACACACATACACAGGCGATTGGATCTTTAACGTTTAGTAACAGATATCGTGAATATTCTAGGCACAGCGAAGTTAATCAGTTCGATATGTACGAGCCAGGTCCATAACAGACTTATGTTTGGTACCCTCCAATGGAGAAGAGGATCATACAGAATCCCTGTATGACATTTCGGTACCAGATATGTATGTAAGATACATGCATTGGTAAACTTACCACAGTCAATAACTGCATGATTCGATGCCGAAACCCCTGTATGCACGACAATTAACCCCCAATTGTAAATCTATATGCAGTAGGTATACTCTGTGCCATTCCCAGTCTCACCAGAGTGACAGGTCGGACCACCAATTACGGTATAATTACTCTGGGCCATTCCCGGTCTCACCAGAATGACAGGTCGGACCACCCATAACGGTATACTTACTCTGGGCCATTCCTGGTATTTCCGGGATGACAGGGCCGACCACCCATAACGATATACTTACTCTGGACCATTCCTGGTATCACTGGAATGACAGGTTCTACCATCAATAACGGTATACTTTCTCTGGGCCATTCCTGGTATTACCAGGATAACAGGTCCGACCACCCATAATGGTATACTTACTCTGAACAATTCGTGGTATCACCAAGATGACGGGTCCGACCATCAATAACGGTATACCTACTCTGGGCCATTCCTGGTATCACCGGGATGACAGGTCCTACCACCCATAATGGTATACTTACTCTGAACAATTCCTGGTATCACCAAGATGACGGGTCCGACCATCAATAACGGTATACTTACTCTGGACCATTCCTGGTATCACCGGGATGACAGGTCCTACCACCCATGATGTTATATTTGGTATCGGCGGATATATAACTCGTATTCGATAAAGTAGAAGCGTTTAGTCTAGGAAACGCATTGATCAAGTGGTTCGTGTCGCCACCGAGAAGACATTCATGAAAAAATCCTAAAAGGAAGATCCGGAAAGCATATAATGAAACTTTGATAAGATAGGAGAAAAAATATACAATATCATCAATACAACATGTCAGAAATCAGTCCAAATAAGGAATCAATGTGATATGTACATTCAATAATTAAGAAGCTGAAATCTTTACAAATACCTACCTACACGTAGTTGGTTACTCAAAGTGATGACATCGAGGAGGGAGGTGCTCGTCTGACCCAGGACATTCTGTTTGTACTCAGGCCTTGGTACCTGGATAGGACTGACATGTAGAGGAAAGTCAGAGAGTTAAAAGTGTTCTCTCTTTTTTTGGTACAACAACTGGACTGATATGGACAGAAAAGCAAAACAATTACAAGTAATGTACGATTTTAGCCTGAGCAAGGACAGACAAAAGAGACAAACCAAAACGGGTCTTGGTACCTTGACCAGTGTAATTCCATGCGACTGAAGCTAATAGATAAACTTTAGCACGCGTCATAGTGTAACATTAAGATTTATAACTAATCAGCCTGACATTGGATTCGTCGTCCCTAGTGCATCAGTACTGACCAATCACGCGTCACCACGCAGCGTTTTGATAACATACGTGCCCTTTTGACATATCCTCGTTACATATCTAAGGTATGATGCTTAGTGCCTTCACTTACCCTAGTACTCAACTTAAAGGGTGACTATATCGTATTTTAAGTGATTAGTTGAACCTAAATAACATAATTATGTTAATGATCCTGGAATAAGAAACTTATTTTTTAATGTTCAAGTTTATATATAAATATATTGCACGTCACGATATCTCGAAAAGAAGAGTTACTGTCGCAACACTACCTATTCGGATCAAAACAGAAATATTTGGGTCAATCAAATGACTCACATCGATGTTGGTACGTTCTGAAACAGAGCCTGGAGCAGCTGTGTGTAAGACGTGTTGGACGGAGTTGATCCACTGGTGGCGTTTGGTTCATACCACAAACCTGTAGACACACAGAGCATAGTTAGGCACTCGTACGTCTAAACACACGCACTGAATACTGTCAGTCTGTCATAGTTCTCAAAACAGACCCAAGAAACATAGATAGGCACTCGTACGTCTGAACACACGCATTAAATCCTGTCAGTCTGTGAAATTTCGGAAACACACACACACGAAACAGTCAGTCATATTTCTCAAATCAGACACACGAAACAGTCAATCTGTCAAATTTCTGAAAACACTCACACGAAACAGTCAATCTGTCATATTTATCAAATCAGACAAAAGAAACAGTCAATCTATAAAATTTCTGAAAGCACACACACGAAATTAACAGTCAATCTGTCATATTTCTCAAATCAGACACACGAAACAGTCATGCCTTATTTCTGAAATCAGACTCATGAAACAGTCAATCTGTCATATATCCGAAAACAGACGATCATAATTTCCGTGTTAAATGCTGACTGTTGACGGACAAAAATGGTTTCCGTGGTAAATGCTGACTGTTGACGGACAAACATGATTTCCCTGTTAAATGCTGCTNAGAGATCGTACTCGATAGAGTTATATAGGCCTTATTCGTCCCCGAGAGATAGAGATCCTACCCGATACAGTTATATAGGCCTTATTCGTCCCTGACAGTTAGAGATCGTACAAGATAGAGTTATATAGGTCTTATTCGTCCCCGACAGATAGAGATCGTACCCGATAGAGTTATA